CCCCCCCTCCATCATGAACCCTTGATTATTTATAAATTATTATGATTTCTTGACTGATACTTCCATGTCCACTAGACATAAGCAAAATGAAATCCTTGAGAAATTATATAATTTTTCCCTATTTATTATGACATTGACTATTGGTCTAATTGTGAGGATAATATTATTAACATATAAATAATAAACCTTAGATGACAAAATTAGCTACAAATATGAATATAAGAAAATAAATATTTAAAAAAGATTCCGTGTACATTACATTTTCTCAAAGAATAAAAGTTATCACTAATTTAATGATCCCAGAAGGCATTCTTAAATGAAATTGACTATGAAATAAAGACATTTTAAAAGCCACAGATGTATTCATGGCATTTAATAACAATATTTCAACCTCTCAAACTATTTCTCCCTAGTTTTCTTTCAGTCTACTCTTATCATAGCAGTGAAATGGAGTGAAGGTCTACTATGACAAATTTGAGCTGCTCAAAAGCCTCACCTCTCTCAGAATATAAGCTTTAGGTATCATCATGATAAACAGAAAAAAATTGAAGTTATCAAGATTTTTGTCTTGCTTGGATTCACAATCAATGCTCATGGAAACAACAGCCATGAGGTCATGACTGTTACCAATTGCATTGGGTAAATGTGCTGCACACGACCTCTTTAATGTGTTGAAAACAAAGATGTTCCTTTAAGGACTAAGGTGCACCTGATGCAAACCAGGGTATTTTCAATTGCCTCACATACATGGGAAAGTTGGACACTGAATAAGGAAGACAAAAGAAGTATCCATGCATTTGAATTATGGTACTGGTGAAGAATAGTCCAAGTCCCACGAACTGCCGAAAGAACAAACTAACCTGTCTTGGATAAAGTATAACCAGAAAGCTCTTTAAAAGCAAGGATGGCAAGACTTTGTCTCACATACTTTGGACATGTTATCAGAAGAGACCTATCCCTGGAGAAATACAACATGTGTGGTAAAGAAGGAACAGAAAGAGAGTAAGGCCCCACACAAGACGGACTGATAGAGTGGCTGCAACAATGGAATCAAATACAAGAACAAATGTGACGATGGTGCAGAACTGGGTAGTGTTTCTGCTTTACATAGGGTTGCTGTGAGTTGTAACTGATTCAACAGCAACTAACAACATCATGACCTATACCGACACAGTGGGTGAGACAAAAGTCCTCCACTGCTAACCAAAGGTTGAATGTTCAAATCAGTAGAAGATCTACTTCTAAAATTCCAACCACTGAAAATACTATGGAGCACCTTTCTACTCTAATTTAGTCACCCTTGGTCAGAGATGACTTAGCAGTAATTGGTTATAACTTCTAACAGGCTGTGTAATCTGTCCCCATCACTGCTCTTACCTCATCTTTTACCAATCTTAAAACCTGTTCACTCCCGACAGCCATGTTCAGCTATTTCTTGTTCCAACAAAAAGGCTGTATACACTCCCTCCATGGGGCCTTTGTGTTTGTTATCTGAAATACTTCTTCAGATAGCCACAGTCTTCCTTTCTTCCTGTCTTTCATCAGATGTGACCAATTCAGTGAGGTCGACTTTGACTACCCTACACAATTTCAATATTCATTTTCTCAACTCAATTCAATTGCTTATCCCCATTTATGGTTTGAATTTTTCTCCTTAGAATTTACCATGATTTAATAGCATATCTTATTTACTGCCTATCTCTCCGTCTAGAATGTAAGCTCATAAGATGATAGATATTTATATTTCTTTTTTTATCGGAGTATTCCCCAAGGCCTAGAATAATGTCCAGTGTATGACGTTTGAAGCAATAGACATATGTAAATGAATGGAATGCAATGTACATTAGATGACAGTACAAGAGTGAGCGATAAATATGATAACTTAGTTCAGAAATGAAGAAAGGGATCATGCACACAAACACACTGAAGCAAAATGTTTGTAAAAGTGGAAGTAATAAGATGATGGTCAGACAGGATGAAATTTTAAATCAAACTCCAGTATCACAATGCCTCTAGTAATACACCTCTAAAACTAGACATACTGAATAAAATAACATGAGTTTTAATTTTATCTTTCTCAATTGAAAACCAAATCTCATCTTTAAGTT